GTCAGCAGTACATGACAGGGCAAACACATGGAGACACACTTACATTCATGTTCACTTACATTCACACCTATGGCTAATTTAGACATACTAAGTAAACAGTATGCATGTCATTGGACTGTGGGAGGAAGCTAGAATACTCTGAGAGAAGCATGCAGCAAAGTGAAGGCCTGGCAAACTCCACATAGCACATTTAGACCCATCTACAAAAGTCAGCCGCTGTCCAGAACTGGCCCACATGTTATGTAGATGAACCAGTTTACATTTGCTAGAAAAGTTACAAGAATTCAGGCAAGCAACACCTACATTACCTCACCGTGAAGAGCTCATTGTTCAAAATGTGCGCATACACTTACTTGTTACTTGAAGCAGCACACGTGCCAGGAAGGAGCTGTTGACAGATAGTGTGGAGTTGCACAGGTAAATCCCCTCATCTCCAGGCATCGTCGCGCTGATGTTCAAACTCCCATCAGGGTTCACGATGAGGCGCCGAGTGGGATCTCCGACTGTAACGATTTCCCGTCCATTTTTGGTCCATGTCGTTACCACCGGTGTTACTTTACCTGCTGTGTAACACGGAAGTATAACGATGTCACCCGGTGAAGCTGACAGGGCCGTTTCGGTTGAGACATTACCCGAAACTTCCGCTGTAACGAGTTCAGCTGAAAGGAAAAGAAAAAAAAAAAGATTGAAGCGGGGTTTTTACACTCACCTGTGTTTTCCGAGTCGATCCAAACTCACCTGTTGCAGAAATATACAACTGCAGAAGCGCTAACGTTGCTGCTACCTTCATGATAACTTTCCTACATTGCCTTCAGAAATGAGTGAACAGTTGCGACTTCTAGGTCAAACCTGTCTGACTAGTCCACCTGCGGGAGCACCTCGGTGACACGCAGCAACACACCGGGCACCGGTCTGCCCATTATACACCACAGCACACGGAACCCAGTGTCGGCAGATGGCAGCGGTCTGACATGATCCGACTTCTGTCCTTCTCTTAGCCTTCACCAAGATTTGGTAGAGGTGCTCTGTTTACATGAGCATGCCAAGCCGGAAACTTTACCAGGACAGAAACCACACCCTGAGCTCACCTTCTTAAAGGTGCAGTAACACCACAGCCATTTGTTTTACTTTTCTTTTTTCTTATCGCAGGTAATAAATTAGCTCCTTTTCTTGCCTTTTTAAAAAGTAGTAAAAGAGATTGTAGTCAGAAAAGATGGATATCAGGCTGTTATTGTTGTCAGTCTGCCACAGGGCAGCTGTGGCTACAACTGTAGCTTGCCTCCACCAGTGTGTGAATGTGAGTGTGAATGAATAGTGGAATTGTACAGTGCTTTGAGGGCCCCGAAAAGTTCTATATAAATGCAATCCATTATTATCATTATTATTATTATTGTAACAAACTGACATTATAAATAGGGCTAAGATAATACTAAAAACATAGATATCACTGATAGATATCATAGATATCAGTTGTCAACCGTTTATTTGGTTAAAATTATGTATTTTTAGGAAACAACAATGTATCTATTTCTACTTCCTTCTCTTAAAAATTCAGTTTTCAGTTGTTTTTATAATCTTATTAGGTAATTACTATTTTAAAAATACATCTGTTTTCATGAAATGTTTTTCATAAGCCAACCCTTTGCATTTATGATGGCCTTTGATTTCATTTTCATTCAATTCCCAGAGTAACTCCATGAGCAACCAAAAGGATGCCTCAAACTCTACAAATACACAACAAAGTATGCTTCTCTCTGCATGAATCACTTTATGTGATTACAGTCCCAGATTTTTTTATTCTAGGCAGATTGTGGTTCTCAGTAGGACTACTATCTGGTGCAGCTGTAATGTCACACAGACTAAAATAACAACCTAATTACAATCATGAGCTTGCATAAGGATACTAAAAAAAGTTTGGCCTGCAGGAATAGGAGTATTGCCTGTGAAGAAAGGGAGAGAGAGCTTTCACGGGAGTCTTAAACATCACAAATCAACACAGCCTAAGCTACAACCATACTCTAACCTAATTTAAAATTGTCTGGAGTCAGAAGGCTAAGCATTTAACATATGCTTACTCATTGTTTCAGTGTGTTTCATTTTCATTT